AGCATATGGTTATATCTAATACCTGATTGGGTTACAGTTTACATATTGCATTTTTATGTTCTCCATCCTCCATCTCTTTGTTTTACAAAGATCATTTTTATGTGTCTTCTATTATTTAAATCTGTTTGTAACTGATCCAGTTTTCTTTTCTGCATGCTTTTTTAAATTGGCGCAATAGCCTATAATTTCCCCTCTCAGAACAGCTTTGTATGCATCCCAAAGAACCATTGGGGACCTTATCTTTCATCAGATAGTCTTTTACATCCATTCTGGACTGAACAGAACCTAATATTAAATTGGAAATTGGAGCGTGATTTGAAAAGTCTATTGCCCAAATATTACAATTTATCATATACATCAAATACACACAAAAAATAGTTGGGCCTGGAATAGACAGAAAGTGGGTAAGAATAAAGCTATAGTCCCTCATTGTCAAGTTCAGGAGTCCCAGCTCTTATTTTTGGTAGTTTTCTTCACTCCTATTAAGGTTTCGATGTATCCAGGGAAGTCTAACATTAAAATCTCATCCACAAATTAGAATACCCTGAGCCGCTGAGATTGCCAATTCAAAGATTTGTTTATATTTGTAATAAAACACCCTGCAGATATCCCCAAACCAGTACAAATCTTCCATCAGTATCTTTTCATATGTGCACTTTTGATTTAAAAGAAATTAAAGTTTCTACCCCTCTCTGTGAACCCTGACTTCAGGAAGATGAATACTGATTAAATCTCCATCAAAGTTTTTCGTGTTCACGTCCTGTTAAATGAGTCTCTTGAAGAAGAGCTACTCCCTCCGGTAACATTTTGGGATTGGGTTTGGTAATAAGATTTGTCTCATAACATTATTCTCAACATTGTTTGAAGCAACATAATGTAAGATTTGGTTTTGTGATTTGGCGTCCTGACAGTTTCATTGTAATTCCCCGCTGTCAAAAATAAAGCTGTACACCTGCATTTGTTATAATTACTTATGATTAAAAGCAAGTCAACAACTTTAGTAACAGCCAAACATCAAGCAAGTGCAACAAAAAGCACAGCTAGTCCAACAGAAAGAAGTCTGATAAATCACCGT